AGAGAGAGAGAGAGAGAGAGAGAGAGAGAGAGAGAGAGAGAGAGAGAGAGAGAGAGAGTGCTTTCAATGGATTAGAGAAACTATGCTTTTTAATTTTTTGACTATGTCCTCTTTGGCTTCTGACCTTCAGTATGCTATTCTAATGTGTAGCCTATTTGTCATACTCATGCTATTTGCTCTCTCTCTCTCTCTCTCTCTCTCTCTCTCTCTCTCTCTCTCTCTCTCTCTCTCTCTGTGTCTGTGTGTGTGTGTGTGTGTGTGTGTGTATTTGTGCTTGTGCTGCATTTGCCATCCTCTCAGGGCTGCAGTGAACTTTAAAGGCTGTGTCGACAAGATGAAGCACCAGTCTTCCAGTCTGGTGATGGCCGTACTTGTGACTGTTGGCCTTGTGTTGCTGGCTGTGTACCCGTCTACGGTCACGGGTTATCCCCGTACGCGCTACAGCTGTCGTTGGAACACAAATGACGATGGGCGTACTTTTGAACGGATAGACTGCATATCCAATCGGGATGCAAAGTCCTTGAAAGGGTGCCAAAAGAGGTGTACCGCCAACTCAGAGTGTGTTGGAATCGAATGGATTCCACGCCGCAAAGGATGGTTAGAAGGACGGATCTGCTGTTTCCTCAAGGAGGAGACAGCTGACACAGAACCTGCAGAGAACCTCGTCTTCTGCTCTAAGCTATACTAGAGTAGTAGAGTGTACTCACACTGGCACTCTGTCAATGTGTCTGAGCCCACTGCAATTAGGGCCACACCCGGGGCTAGGTCCCACTTGCACAAATTAAGCGATATTGACCGTAGATAGCAGAGATCAACGGCCAGAATCTCTTGCTTCGTGCAAGTGGGACCTTGCCCCCGGATTTAGAATGACGGCAATATTTAAGAAAAAACTGTCTGAGACTCTGATGAAGTTTTCTGAACGTACTCGTTATGGGACGCTGGGCCCTGTTCCCAGTTTGTGCCAATTTGTGAACATATGGTTGTATCTATGGGACGCTGGACCCGGTTTCCAGCAGGTGCCGCTCCCCCCCAATAGATGGAGCTTCTTTATAAAAAAAAAAAAAAAAAAAAAAAAAAAAAAGGAACTTTGCGTCATGGGTTCAGTTTCAGAAAGGCAATGAATGCACTACAGGCAGCTCTGTTGGGGCGGCATTTTTGAAAAGCTGTATTTTCGTTTTGCCGTAAGGTTTTAAATTGAACTTCGCCCCTCAGAGTCTGCACACCTCGGTCCAGCCCTGGGGTGTGGGGTCCCATTCGCAAAGAGGATCGGATCGAATGCCTGAATCTGGTCCTGTTTGTGCACAGGTGCAGGAAATAGAGATTGAACTGCTTTTCTGCATCTCTGCATAAAACACATCCAGATTCAGGAGCTCGATCCTATCCATTTCGCTAGTGGGACCTCGGCCCTGCAGTTTTGACATCTGCACTGATTAGTATCTAGAAGGAGGCCGCGTGTTTCTTTCTTAGGGAATCAGATGCTCTTTTTATTTGATTGAGCTTCAGAACAATGGACATTTATTTTTGATGACAGGAGGATGGTATGCTGTGCTGGACCCTGTTGCCAGCACTAAGAGGAAGTACTAGTAGGGTAATGGGCCTGTTGGTCGGGTTGAATCGCTGAGGTCCCCGGGCCCATCCTGTTTTTTTTTTTTTTTTTTGTTCCTTCTTCAATGCTGTATCTTGCTGATAATATAGTGGATCAGCTCTTTTCAGCAAAAAAAGTTAAAAAAGAATCTTCAATCTCGGGCTAAGGAATATAGTACCCCTTCCTTTAGGTAGGTCTGTTTTTGTTGGCTTGGCACCCTAAGGCTTATGCTATTCCTATTCTCCGAGTCTCCCCCCACAATACCTTGTCGCACTCCCTGTGCTCACAATTGCATTTATCCGGAGTGCACTATCACTGGTCTGGCAACACGCATCCACGCCTTTTCCACGTACCTGTGCTCACCCATCGCTGCTTCTGCTACGTCCATGCTAGTTTAACTTACTTTTGTGCCATCCCGTCTTTCTTTCTGGCCTGCTTCTTGTATACCGTCTGCATATCTTAATGATGGATTGCTCCCCCTGGTAGGTATTGGTAGGGAATTTGGCCATGACTGGTGTGTGTGTGTCACAGTGTCACTATGTGTGTGCCCGGGGGGGGGGCGG